GATAAATATTATTTGTTTATAATTACAAAAATTTAAGGAAATTCTTAACATAGACAATACATAAAAGTGTCTTCTAACTTTATCCTTTTGCACATGCAGGAGGAAATTAAGTTCCACAGAAGAGTTGACCTTTCCTTAGAGGCTACTCGTCTGCCTCAATATGTAAAACTTTTAAAGATCTTCCCTCTGGTGATGGCACAATTAAAAAATACTATTTTTCTTTTTATGATTCAATGGGATAATGAGAATCAATAATAAAGTTAATGGAATACAATGGTGATTTAAATTAATTTTATTAAAAATAATATAAACATAGAACAATAACATTTTTTATTCTTGAATTGTATATTTTAAAGGAAGTATTATTACTGTATTTAAATAGAAAATTAAAGATTGATTTGTTTTTCTTGTTTTCAAATTCAGTGGTATTAAGCTAATACAATAATTTTTTCTGTTTTCTTTTTAAACTTTTCACCTGTATGACTTAATTAGTTTTTTCTTAAAAATTAAATAAAAATTTGAATTTAACCTGAGTGTGTTTATTACAAAATTCAATAATTTCCTTGGTTAATGTAAACTCTAGAATCTGAAGTTGAATGTTCAATAGGTTTTACAATTTTAATGTAGGATATGTACAGTACTTATGCATACAAAATTGACACAAAAATAAATGTTTTGGATTATCAAATTAAAATTAATTTGTATGAAAATTTTCAACTTTATTAAACACTATAATAATTTTTAGGTGAATATTTCCATATGCTATATTTGTGATATTGTTTATTTTTCATTTAATTTTGGATCATGAGTAATGGAGAAAGCACTGTAATAAATTGTGATTATATATGTTGCGGCTTTAATGTTAGGATTTCCTTGTTTCTATCTAATGTAATTGAATATCTTCCATATTATTCTGTTATCATACTTAATGATGGTTCCAATGCTATCATTTATGGTGAGCACTAAATCTATTAATTTTTGACATCCATTATGGAAGAAAAACAGTAAGCACTACTATTATATGTTCATACTTATAAAATTTACAAAACATGCCTTTTCCAGCAATATCTTTAATCATGGAACAAACATTTTTGGCCAAATTTACAGGCCTGCTACAAGCTAAAAGCTGTTCCAAAGATGAAAGAGCTTATATTGAGTTCTAAAATGGAACAAGTGATTAAAGTTATTGCTGGAAAAGTACGAAATGTGTGCTTTGTGATTTTATCCAAGAAATTCCAGCTTTTAAGAGTTATTCATACTACACAATAAAGCTTGAACCTCACGCCAAATATCACATAAAAAGGAAGGAAACAAACGAACAAAATTTTTTCATTTAACTTAAGATGTCAGCACTAAACATCTAAATTTTTAATGCTTGTAACTGTAATCTGCCTTTAAAAATTCACATTAAGGTTTTCTTATTGATATACTGATGTAAAAGCTCTTGGATATTTTAGTTATATTAAACAATAGTTATAATATTAATATCATTAATTTTCATTTCATTTTGATGGACCATCAAAAAGTGTCCATTTATTTTAAAATTTTGTGTGTAAAATTCTCTTATATTTTCTAAAAAACATAAGAAATATTCCTTTTTTTCTCTTTACAATTTCAAATTCCCTGTATCTAGGTGATGTTCATAGACTTGGAAATGCTGTGCTGAGATTAGTGAAATTAGTACCATCAAGTGGTAAACTGTGGAGTTAATCCTTTCCGTTGCAGAGTGCATTTAGAATATAAAAATTTAAGTCTCCTATAAAAAGGCAATGAAATGTGTCTTAAATCAAAGGTAGCAAAAATGGCAAAAGTAGCACAATAGGATTTATTCAGAAAGGCTCTAAAGTTATGTCCATTAAAAATGTTTTTTGGAAAGTGCAAACTTGCAAATCTGTATCTGAAATTTGAAAAGTTTCCAAATTTCAGATACAGATTTCAGATACAAAAAACCCGATATATCATACAAAGAAGCATATTTCTCCTACTGATACAAATCTCATTGATCATCATTAAGAGATTGAATTTGGAAGCAATTGATATGCTTAGAAAAGTTATCAATTGCTTCCAAATCCAATCTGTTAACCCTTTCAGAACCCCCCACAATTATCATTCCCACCTTCAATTGGAGGCAAGGTGTTAATGAATTGATTTAAAAAATAAGAACAAAGTGAGAAAATTGATAAATAATATCAATAAATTACAAGTGTTTATCATTTTTTATTTTAATAATTTTTATTGTGTAACAAAACATAATTTCTAATTTCTTTCCAGTATATTAAAATTTTTATAAAATTTATTAAGGTATAAATTTATACTTTTGTAACAGACTACAGAATTCATTAATTTCTTGCACTTTGGTACATAGTTTAATAAATATAATTTAATAATTAGTTAATAGACATAAAGTTGGGTAACAAATATCACTTTGGCAAATTTTGGGCTTAAAAACTGTCAACATTGATCATACCTGTAGTAATACTGTATTATATTATAGTTTTGAATATCAACTAAGTAGCCTGATAGATATTTTACATGGGGAAAAAATGCTTTATTTGAAGATTTTTAAATTTAACTTTTTGTTAAAATTATGTTGCTATTTAAAAACAGTTGCCTTTTTTGTTGAAAGATTGGTTTTAAAATTACATGTTACTAAGTCAAGAGTTCATTTTTTTTAAAGCACAGTACAGTACTATTTGTATATCAGAAAATACTGTTTGTTGATTTTATGCTATCTTGTGTTTACTAGATTTACATACAAATAATAATGATAAATGATGATAAAATAAAAAAGCTTATGTTTTGTTTGTAAATTGCTTATTTTTTTATTACATTGAAGTTGTGGATCCTATCAAACATTTTTCTACAGGATGTATATACTATATTTTTTTGGCACAGTCTTTGGAACGTATCAACTGTGTAAAAAGAGGGATAGATATACTCAATGTTCACAGTAATTAAAATGCTGTTTTATTATGTTGATATTCCATACTGTAAGAAATGTGACATCAAGGAATGTCATGGAATTCAAAATAAAAATTTGAATAGGAATCCTGTATACATAACCAGTATACATGAGTTCATAATATAGGTATCCCTTGTATAACACAGTAGTTATGTTCCAAAAAAGTACCATGTTATGAGAATCTGTGCTATATGAAACAAAGGACTAATACAAAACATGGGATTAGGTTCCAAAAGTTACCAAAAGTACAGTCGACCCCCCCCTATAACATGAGTTCCTGTAGTTTGGATTCCTATATTACGGTGAAAAAATTGCAACAGTATTCTTACAAACATGCTAAAAAAACTCGTATAATTTGGTAAAATGTCATCGCTGACTTGTGTCACAACAGGATTGGTCAAATCTAGGCCAATAGCAGATATTGCACAAACCGTTGAGTTTAAACGAGCAGCAGACCTACTAAAAACCATTTATTATTTAACGTCCATAAAAATTATATTTATATTAATGATGTCTCCAAAGTTCAGCGAATTTTTCACAAAAAAAATAATTTATCAGGAAGCACGCGAGCACCATTCGATGACAAGCTCCACAATGAAAACAAGCTTAAGCAATGGCGTAGTTGAACGGTGCATACTTGGTAAGTAATCCTACAATTTTTTGTTTATAGCATAGTTTATATGGATTACTCCCAAAAAATTATACGTATTTTGGAAATGTTGAGTCGAATTAGTCTAGGATCAATTAATTTTATGGAAGAAACCTTTCAAACGGCCATAGTCCATAAACCTCATATGTGCCGGGCTGTGATTGGCTGGACTCATAGAAAATGGATTCATAAAAACTGGAACGTATCTACCGTGTTATAGGGCGGTCGACTGTATACTGTTTGCTTTAATAAACATATTTCACTTAGTAATAAAAATAATCAATAATTTATTTCCAATCAATAGTTAACTAGCAATTACAATTAATATTAATTTTAGTTAAATAAGGGCGTTTTATAAAGTATCATCATCATCTGAGCTTTGCTGATATTTCTGATCAAGATCAACAAAAAAAAAATGTCTTCATTTTGTTATTTTCACTATAAAAATTTTTTATGTATGACAAAATAAAAATATGTTATTAATTGAAAATTTGTTCTAACGGATTGTGATTTTTTTTCCAGAATTTATGTTCTAAACTGAAATTGTTTGAGTTGTGAACAGTTCAAGTACCGAGATACTGCTGTATTTCATTTGTCATTTTTACGAATGATTATTTACCTATCGTTAAAAAAAGATTAAAAACGCTTGCCTAAAAATGTTTAAATAAACTTTACTAAATACAAAGATTAATCTATAGAAACAAAACATACTGACAATCTTAAAGCCTAAAATCTGAAAGCAATGACAATGACACCTAGTTGATAGGAAAGCGAGGAGAAGGAAGAAGAAAAATTGCACTGTCAGTTTTCATTAAACCTGATGAATGGCACAAAACAAATTGAAAAATTCAATATTCTAAAATCCATGGGCAAATTTGAAATAACATGCATGCTTGCTTGAATGAAAAAATATTGAATAAAGGAGTTTGCACTTAAAAGTTGTAAAATTTTGTGTAGAGGATTTTCCAAATTCTTGAACTGTATTAGAGCAAAACTGGAAACAGTGTTTTATGGGGGTTTTCTCCAACTTTCAAACCATGTTAAAGTGAAGCCATGTTGTATGAAGGATAACTGTACTTGTATTCATATATATGGAAAGTTGATCTTTGTTAGCTTTATTGTTTTTAACATTAAAAGTGATCTAGAAATTAATTTATATAAACACACAAATACATGCATATGCACACGCATCTTCAACAAATAAATTCAATTTCAATGCTAAAGTTGAAATTCAAATATTGAAAGGTTAAAGTTAACAGATTTAGTTTTTGGCTTAATATAACGAATTTATTAATATTTTCAAATTTAATCTATATAGTTAAAAATAACAAATTTTTATTTTACTAATTTAATTTTTTAATCTTTCAATCTGAATATTCTTAATATTAGGTGCTGATGAAAATGCAGCAAAGAATTTGCTGGAAATTTGTAATGGTAATTTAGAAGTTGCTATAAATATGCATTGTGATTATGGAAGTGAAACTGTTCAAAATCCTTCCAGAGGTTCTTCGTCAAAGTGAGTTAAAACAATTATTATTTGCATTTATTTTTATTTGAATCAAAATATAACACTTTTTGTAAATATTTATACAAATTAAAATACACTGTTTTATATGAATACCATAAAATATTTATTTATTTAAAGATTTAAAGAAAATTGCAGTTTCATTTGAGCCATCTTCTATTTACAAATTGATTTTGTTTGATTTGTAAACTAAAGATGTATCTGAAAATGTTTTTTGGTTCTGTATAAAGCAGTGTGAATATATTAACAGTGTGAATACAAAACCCAGCACTAATTTTAACTATTAATAATTTTAATAGTTAAAATTAGTGCTGGGTTTTGTATACTGAGAATTTAAATAGCATTTATTGTTAAGTTAAAATTTTGTTGTCACCAGGTGGCATTGTAAAACCTCTTTATTTACACATGTATATATATGAGACCCCTGTGTTTAGACACACTTTTTTTGTTTTTTTTTTCTGTACTAAGAACAGTGGTAGATTCAACTGTGTAGTTTTATGTATGTCTTATGCCTTTGTTTGTAGTCTATACACCTGTGTTACTGCATTCAGATAAATGTTGTTTTATTATTTGGTGTAAATCAGTCTTGTTTTGCTTTCCTGTTTTATTTAAATATATATATATATATCAAGATGAAGTAAACTGAAAATTTGAACAGTGTTACTAAAAGTATTAATTACTAGATTATACATTTTTTTTTCATCAGTTATTCATTGATTATGATGACAGAACAGGATGAAGTCATTAAAAAACAGGGAAAATCTAAAGTACTGATTTCTAAATTGCATTTACTAGAATAAATAATGAAACTGAAATTTAAAAATCTACAGCATGATTATCTTCAAACATGTTGCATTTCATTGAGCATAACAATAATTAGGTTTACTTTTTTTTATAACTATAATGTAGAATTGTTGTATTATAGTCCAAGGATGACTTGTTTAATTTATTGAAAATAACATTATATTTGTTGCATTTTATAATTGTATGCATTACTATAAAAGTTTCAGATGAATTATTGTTTCAAGAATTAAAATATACTATAAAAATTTTTCATAAATGATCTTAAAAAACTTTATTATTATTTAATGTAGCCATACATACCTTACAAACCTTAATTTTAATACACAGTGCAGCTGTAAGTTGAAAAAAGTTATAGATAGCATGTTGTGTATTATAATAAATACAGTATTTATATAGTAGAGTTTCGTACAACGCAGAGGATTTGTTACGCATTATAGGAAATTGCGTTATCAAAACCTGCATTATCACATGATTTATGAAAGTTTATACCTTGGCCTGTAAGTTGAAAAAAAAAAAAAGAAAATGTATATCTCTGATTGGCAAAATTTGAAGATGTTGCTTGTTTTATTTGTGCGTTGTACAGGACTCTACTGTATGTTGAATTATATCTAAGGGAGAGAAAAAAAGATTGTTGTGGACTGAATTTGGACTGTGGCCATTTGTTAAATGGTAAGATCAATAATGCCCAAACTATAGTTTGTAGATCAGACCACCCTGTAAAGATATTTGAAGTATCTGTTAGAAGTGATAAACAAAACAGGAATTCATAAGTTATATAATTCTCTATTTCAATTGCTCTTTGTTATTTCAAATGAAAGGAGAGAATGCTTCATTTTATAGATAGTCGTGTATATATGTTAGATGAGACTTGTTCTTTAAAGAATATTTTTCTTTTATCTAGGCTACTTGAAATATATAAAAATGTTTGTTAGCCACTTATCTATGACTTCCTTTCAGTTTGGCCCACCAATCAAAAAGTTTGAGCATTGCTATTTTAGATCAGTTTTTCTTGAAACTTGTTTAATTTAATATTTTTTAAATAAAGATTTAAATTTATTCATTTATTTTCTTTAAATAAGTGAATAGTTGTAAATTTCCTGTTAAGTTTTTCTATGCTTAATGTTTCTATTTTATAATTTTGTAACACATTATGTTATCTGTAATAAGGGGGGGAATTGAAATGTATTTATGTTAATTGTTCATCTTGCCAACATTTTTGCTTTCTTATCAATGAAATTTGTAATAGAAAACATATAAAGATTATATTTCCTCATCACAGTTTTAGATGTAGAAAGAACCATTTCATATTTTTCAAAAACTTTATTTATGCATTATGTTTATAATACAGTTTATCAAGGTATTTTGTAATGGATTGTGTCACAGATTTTCCCTTTACCACCATCATAAAGCTTGTTGCTGATAGCCATCATTTTTAGGTAGAAAACTTTTTTTATTGGCTGACCACATCTATCCACAACATTTGTATTCATTAAAAGTATGATTGACAACTATTTCATTTCATTCTATTATTTCACCATTTGTAAACTTGCTTCTGCTAGGCAATAATCTCTCTAACTCTTGCTTTGCTAGAAAATGCCTTACAGACAAATCCAGTCTTAATATGATCACAATACAGTCAAAAAAATGATAAAGAATATTTTAAGAATAATTGTTTGAATAGTAATGAAAAATCAAATATATAATAATAATAATGTTTACTGTTATTTATCATTAACAAAGATCTCTCTGCTTTTTTGTGTAAATTTTTTCTTTTGTATCTAGTCCTAAATTTTAGGCTGCCAGTAATTGTAATCAGAAACAAGAGCTTTGTATTTTGTAGGTAATATCCACTGTAAAAAGAAAAAAGAAATGCATTGTTTGAATTTGAGTTGTTAACTACTAAACTATTCAAATGAATCTTTTCATATAATTAATTAGATGTCTAACAGATATTAATTCTTAATTTACTTCCCTGGCTATTATAGAATATAACAGAGGGAAAATATGACAATTGGTCAATTTTGACTTACTTCATTTTTTGCATTTTTGACATTTTGACACTTCATAAATGCAGAAATGTAAATAAAATCTCTTGCAAAATTCTGTGTGTATGTGTCAGCATCTATTTGGCTATATATATCAGGATTTCTGGACCAAAAATATTGAAATTGGCAGGAATATTTCTATATATGGAGCATTGATGTTTTCACATTTTGGAGACTATCAAGTCAAGAGAGTAGTGAGATAGAAGTCATGCATCATATCTCAAGTAGGGACCTAGTACTTTTTGACTTATTGAGGCCCGTGTTCTATACACCCCAAGTCCAACCAACCAACAAACAATTAACAACTTACCCATACTCCAAAAATAAGGCTTTTACCTTTTTATAATAATTAATAATATAAAAATTATTTTTTAATAAAATCTCATAACAGAGCCATACCCTTAGTGATTTTTAAATTTAAATATTCTTTTTTGAGAAATAGAGTAATTTCTCATAATACAACAACATTACTCCTGTTAAACTTTTATTATTTAAATTTTATATTGTAATGTAACTGAAAATTATCAGATTTTATTCCTGGTTTTCTGAGTCATCTGTTTGAGTTTCAAGAGTCATGCAAGAGTCCTTGCCAGCTTTTTTGTTTTTATTTAATAAATATATATTTATTTACAAATTAAACAGAATGTTACCTAATTATATATATGTATTCTTATATCTTCAGAGATGGGGAAGATGTAAGACCACCCATACCACCTACAAGAGGAGTTTTAGTTGATACATTACCTTTTGGTAAATAAATTTTATAAAAGAGAAAAAGATTTATAGAAAAATTACTTAGACTATTTTTGAATAGTATTACAAATATAAATGTCTCATTTTAATTAGGTCCAAGAGGGCGGCAGCAATCATCTCAATCAATTTTTGATGGTTTTCGTGATTTTCAAGCTGAAGCAAGTATGTTGTTAATTGAATGTTATTAAAATTTACTAATCTTCTTTGAGAAAAGTAATTTTCAATATGATTTGAACATAATTAAATTTTCAGAATGGCAAGAAGAGAATCTTTCTTTGGTAGGAACCAAACTTTCCAAGAAGAGAAAAACTTTAGAAGATTTGTTCCGTCCACCTCTTGATCTAATGCATAGAGGTTCTCTGGAATCAGTAAGATGATTTATTTATATATATTACAAAAGTAGAATCTTGGATATTACAAAAAGTTTTTTTTTCAATGTTTGTATTGCTACTTGATTTCAGAGTATTGTATACAGTATTTCTCAACAAAAATAACAGTGACATTATTAATGGCCATTAGTATAGAAACATATTCTTTTATTAAACATTTTAAGCTATTTTTTCGATATCACTGGTTTTCATTTTTGATAATTTTTTTTAATCACTTGAAATAGTGTAATAATGAAAGGATATGTAAAAGGTACAGATCTGTTTAACAAAAAATGATGAAAAGTTTTAGTGGATGCTTGGCCCTGGGGAAATTTGGCAGGTGATGACATCATATTGTATTCTCATCTAAATAAGCTTAAATTAGAGGTCACGATTAAGTTTGAATTTTTTAATATGAAATTATATCTTTTATAGGCAACTAATATACATTTTAAGAGAACAGTTTGTTTCTAATGATTTGTTTTTCTGAAGGATAGTTGTTTAGTTATGGTACATCACATACCACACGCTGTCATAATGCACACTGCTTGTTTTTAAATGTCTTTAGGATCAAAGTAAAGTAAAATTGAAATAATGGTACATACAGTTTTTAAAAAATAATTCATTATAATTTAGTGAGCACTGCTTGCCATACTTGTTTTGCAGCATCGAGTGTAGTGATGTAAAGCACTGACATTTTCAACACAGTATGCTGAAATAATGGAAAAAATATTACAATGGCTTACATGCATTATTAATTGCATTAATTGCTTAATACATTTTTATTTTTCCAGCTGTTATATAAAATGGGAAAAATATGGTGATTGGTCAAAAAATGACACCCCGGATTTTTAATTTTTGGACTCTGACCTTGAAACATTGAGAAATGCAACAAAATTTGGGGATTTTTTTTCTGTATTAATAGATTTTTGTATGGGGGACACAACTTTGTTCACCCTCTTTGAAGCTTAATAACTTCTGTGTTTCTTGTCAAAAATTTCTGAAAGTTTGCAGGGAGGTTCATTTATTAAGGGGATTGATGCCATTTTGGCGATTAACCTTTCAACAGTGGAATAGTCAGGTATGGTGCTACCCCCTTAGTAGTGGAGAATAAATGTGTGAAATTTTTAGAGTGTTTTTCCACGTGTTTTTTCTCATTACTATTTTGGAAAAAGATTTTGTAAACAGTTATGTCTAGTAAACAAAAGTCTTTTTTTTTATTGTTACATAATTCATTTTTTATGTGAATTTTTTTTTGCGGTAGTTTTAGGCTAGCTTTTCGCGATACCCCCTAAAAGAATTTGATGTATATATTCGTCCCTCACCACTGCCACACAATTGCCCTTGACGAATATATTCATCGCAGAGTGGTTAAAGGATGACAGGATAAGGAGATAAAGGGGGTTGTGTGTATCTTCAGTAGGGTCAGACTTAATGACAATTTTACTTGTTATTAGCATTTACAGTTTTTTATAAAACCAATCTCTACCCTCAAAATTAAACTTTTTGCCATTTTATAATACAGTCAAACTTTCATCTAATGAATTTGCTAAATTCTGGAAAAAAGTTGTTATAGGGGAATTTTGTTGTACAGAAATTACACATTTTGGTAAATAAAGTATTATTTTTAACGTATTTTTTTTTGTTATTTTACGTAATTTAAATTAATATCAATTTAGTTTTAATTTAAATTTATATTTGTGTGTTTAAAATACTGTATTTACAACTTAGTTTAACTACATTTTTGAAAAAAAATTGTAATTTATTTGTAGCACAGAACAATTTAAAAAATATTCTTTATTCATCATATACTTCATGCTTATTATGAGCATTAAAACTGCTTTATCTACATCGATATAAATACATGTTTTCCCATAGATCTTGCATCTTTGGTTAATTTCAAAATTGATTCACAATTTGTTATTATGGTTGATAAACTACTTGCGGAAATTCCAAACTTTGTTACAATGTCTTTCTTTTTTGAACCTTTATCAACTTTTGCAACACACTAATTTTTTTAGTAATGCTTAAACACTAAATTAACAAAGTGAAGATTCTTCTGGTTATCCTCTGTCTCCTCAAGCAGCTTTCATGTGCAAGCATGGCCTGTGACGTTTCAAATGTACAGTACTGTAGGTTCATAGGAAATAAAAATCCACACTCAACTCATTTGTTATTGTAATGGTTCTTCCTACTTTTCTATTACTTTTTTGTCCTTTTTTTCTTTAACGCCCTTTTGATGACAGGATGACAGGGTAAGGAGATAAAAGGGGTTGTGTGTATCTCCAGTATCTACAAAAAAATTTCTCTTGTGTTTTGGCCCAAAACTCGCAGAAAAATTTCACTACAGTTACATACAGTTCATCACTACACCACACTGTATTGACTGACACACTATCAATCAAGGATAAGTTGGAATAATCGGGAATCGGATCGCTCCTTGATAATTTCTATACTGTGGAGAGGCTCTGTCTGAACTTCTTGTCTGATCTCAGATCTTGTCCATACCCAATCATTCTTTCCAGAGGAGTATAACGAGTATAACATCTCATCCTATTGTCAACAGTCTTGCCAAGTTCTGAGATCCAAGTGTTATCAGCTGCAAGCCTTGCCCTCCACCCCTTTTACTTTGATCTTCTCCCCAATTTAAATGTTTTTTGGGAACCAACTTCTGACCAATCAGAAAGGTGGTTGTGTACGAAGTTTTCTTTTATGTCCTCGCTGACTTGAATATGGGTGTTTGTCCACTCACGTGTTTACTTGTTTAATTGTAGCTGTTTCCATATCACTGTAAATGATTTTATGACTGGACTGCACCTGGGTCCAATTTAACAAGCCACAAGATTGTTTTGTTTTTCTCCCAAATTAATAATTTAAATTTATAAAAAATTTTATATAGAAATTCAACTTTGTTATTTAGAAGCAATTTTACATACACTGCTCTTTCAGCCAAAAATAGCTACAACCAACAGACTGCCGAAAATCTATCGGGCTAGTTTTATGCTACTTATTAGATAAATTACGTAATCAATTTGGTACTAGAGGTAAGCGTTAGGCGCCATCTCTTATTAATATTAATAATTATAAATAATTTTAATTAATTTAAATAATTTGGAACCGCTGGGAGAAAAAATCGGCCCGGAGCGGGACTCGAACCCACAACTCCTGCTTACCGTGCAGATGCGTTGCCAGTTACGCTACCCGGACCTCCGATCCGATCTCCTCTTCCAGCGTATATAATCTAACTACTTAACCATCGACGGTTATTACAACATTTATTTAATAAGTAGCATAAAACTAGCCCGATAGATTTTCGGCAGTCTGTTGGTTGTAGCTATAATTATATATCGGGTTGGAGATGTTTGTATATATATCAGCCAAAAATCATATATTTTTGGCTGAAAGAGTAGTGTGTGTAAAATATGGAGAAATTTGCTATATAGAAGTTTGTAATATGGAAGTTTGACTGTAGTTAAAAATATAAAGTTTTTTAAATAAAATATCATAACAGATCACACCACCAAATATTGGGTACGTTCGTAAAGTCAAATGAGTTAAACGCATTAGTAACAAATCATTCAAATAGTAGTAGTCTTGCCCAGTGCGCATGCTTTGCGGTGATGACATTTCGAACGAAACTCTAACGACATTCATGAAGGAAAGAGTTAGTTTACTTTGTTAAGAAAATGGCGCCCGACGATATCAATGTTTCTAAATCTACTAGAGTGTTTAAATTGTGAATTAAAAGGTGTAATGATTGAAATAACTGTCCACCCAAAGCAATCTAAGAAAAATATTTCGGATAAGGCTGCATTAGCAACATTCATATCTTTGATTTTAGAAACATCCATTTAGTTATAAACGAATTGTTCAAAAAGTCTAACTAAATAAGAATAATGATGACGTCATTCTTGTTTGACTTCACAAACATACCCAATGCCAGGAAATAGTAAAATAAATTTTTGCTGTGTACAGTGTTATTAATAGTTTTCTTTTTGAGCGCTTTCAACGAATATATTATTTTTGTCATCCTCTTTTTATTTTGCCTGAGGATGACAAAAAATATATATATATATGAGGGGGGACCCAAAAAAACCAAACTGAGAGTGCACTGCCATTTGTAGACATAGTAGAGAGTTTTCCTGTTACATGGAGTTAGTAAAGACCTTCACAAAATAGCTGTGCAAACGGTGTCAGTTTGTAGGTTTACATTTGAGCATAGTGTTGTGTTTCTCTTACTGTTATTTTGTTCCACCTACGAAGTTCTAGGAATCCTTCAACATCTCGAAACGATGAAAACGTTGAAAAAAATCCGTAAAAAAGTGTTAAGACATCTGCGAGAGAATGTGCGAAGGAAACATCCGGAACTTTGGTGATCAGGTGACTGGTTCCTTCATCATGACAACGTCCCCCCGCACACACACCCTTACAAATGACCCACTGTTTGGCCTCTTGGGGATGGCCTGTTGTTACTCACCCTCCGTATTCACCAGACCTAGCCCCGTGCGACTTTTTTCTGTTTCCGAGAATGAAGAAAAATCTAAAAGGGAAGCATTTTGATGATGTGGAGGTGGTAAAAACAGCTTTGCTAAGGGCACTGGACGATATCAAAGTTGAAGAGTTCCAGAGATGCTTCAAACAGTGGGGAAAAAGACTTCACAAGTGCATCGCATCTAATGGAGAGTACTTTGAAGGTGACTGAAAAAATTTTGTAAAAAAGTTAATAAATAAAGTTTTTATACAAAAAATCCAGTTATTTTTTTTATACCCCCCTCATATACAGTGGGTGATTGGTTAATTTAATGAACAAATCGGATAACAAACACTTTTGTGAAAGATTTTTATGTTTGGACAACGAACACCTCACAGAACAAACACAAGAAGTGACGTAAAATAATGAATACCAATTGGTCTTCCCTTGTCTTCAGACAACAATTCAAAACTTTTGGAGTGTGGGAGATGTTGACATCGACGCTTAACAGGTAGAGAGTGGGCAGATGTCTGTTGTTGCTGGGCAGTATGGATTGAACAGGTCTACAGTAGGCTGCAGTTCAATTTTATTTAAGAAAGTTGCTGTATAATCAAGAAGACTGAAGCTGCTAAAGGAATAACAAAAATCACATCTGAGAAATGAACGTCAAAGAGCTCATAATGGAACCTAAAAACTGACCTGACGACATAAGAATGCCAAGAACTCTTGAATGAAGAACACCAAGAAACTTGGTGAGATATGTTTTCTTCTGAAAAAGAGGATTAATGCTGACACCTGCTATTAAACATTTTTTTGAATAAGTGAGATAATATCAGAATGACGGTCTTAGAATGGCATCCAAACCAGGTTAAGGTTAATAGGCTTAGGGATATCTACAATTACAATGCTATTAATTAATTCTGAAAAATCCTGAAGAAGAGAGAAAAGCAATCAACATTGGACAGATTCTTTAACCCCCACAAACAGAAAAAATATGACTAATAAAAATGCAAGACTGCATATATATGTATTTTTACTATTACATATAAATAAATGTAGTAAAAAAGTATATATTTTTTATTTTTTTGGAGTCTCCAGAATGAATTAACCAAATTCCCATAAAAACCTATGGTAAATCAATAATCGGATAACGAACAAAGTCTTGGAACGGATTATGTTTGTTAACCGATCATCCACTGTAGATATATATATATATTTGTTGAAAGCGCTTGAAAAGAAAACTATTAATAATGCCGTAAACAGTGAAAATTTATTTTACTACTACTATTACTTGGCGTAAGTATAATACTAAAACTATATTGCCAGGAAAGTTAATCACTTCATTGCTGGATTTTTTTTTCTGAGAAATGATAAAACCAATGCAAAAAATCTTATCATAAAGCATGGTATCATTAAGAAAGTAGCAATTTTTTCAGAATTTTTTGACTAATTGTTTCATAAGTTTTTTTCATTTTAAAGTGCTTGTTGTCTCACAGAAGCTGTGACTGCTGTGTGGTTAAAGAAATCTTGTTAATGTAGCAAATAATTTTTTGACGGATGTTTTGTATCTACTTAAATAAGCCATTGACCCACTGTTTGTATATCTGTAAGCCATCACGGAATGACTAGAACACCCACTAGGGGCGTCCTAGTGATGATTTTCAGCTATTATTTAAATTAAAAGTATAATTTATTTATAACAATATAATTCAGTATATTATTATTTTTATTTGTAATAGGAATTTATTATTTGTACCATGGAATGACTCCGCTGCTGCTAGAATGCTCATTAGGGGTGTCCTGGGCTGCTAGTTCTGTAATAAATTATTAATGTCAAAAATGAACATTATGAATTATAACTTGTTTATCAGTTTTATTAATCATAAATTACTTCTTTTTAATCATGTCTGATTAAAAAGAAGTAAAGGTATTAGTTAACAGGGATAAAAAGACTATAGTGTAATATTTTGCTATTTTCCTTTATATTTATTTTCATTTTACAGTAGAGTCTTGAAAACTTGGCCTAATGTGGACCGAAGGGTGGCTGAGTTTGTGAAAATGCCGGGTTATCGGGAATGGGGTTAAAAAAATAAGTATGAGTGTTTCCTCAGAAAATACTGTACTGTACTTGTATGTATTGTTTACTTGAGAATACAACAGAGAATAAACTGCCCAATACCCTTTAACAAAGGAAAAGTACGTCCTTTATGAAGGCATAGAGCCTTTACTACATGAAAATGAAAATTAATGAATACACTGTGTACAGTAATTTACGTGATAAGACAGACCTCAGAAAAATACTTTGAGGCATAAAGCTGTCTATAATAAAAATTAATTAACTAAGGATTTTTTTGCCCTTCCAGGGTGTGGCCGAGTTATCCGGACTGCCGAGTTATCGAGTGCCAAGTTTTCGAGTCTCTACTGTATTAGTTTTATTTATTCAATATTATACTTATATTCATGATTAGATTAGATATTTAACTATAAATGTGGGTTTCATTGAAAAGAAATTGTCTTTGACAAGAATTTGTATTTGATCTTTAATATGTGTGTTTTAGAAATTATTGTACAAATATTGACACACATGAAATAAAAAAATTTATATATATTGCACAATTTTATAAATTACTAGATATGTCTGGTCATATGTTGCTGTGGCTCAAAATGTATTTATTAGAAATGTATAACACTCCCCATGGGGGGGGGAAATTTCGAAAAATCCCTTTTTAGTGTACATTCTCTTGACGAACCCTATTAAAACGCACTCAAAAACACAAAAAACCACATCTGAAATAGTATAATAGAAGCCTAGTTCTTCATGGTAAGCCTTAATTTGTCCCTCTCCCTATGGGAGAGGAATTTTGACATCTGTATAATACAAAAACATATGCATATTTGAATGCAACGTTGTTTCAAACTTTCAAAGAATTGGTGAAAAACTTTTGGAGATTTAAGATTTTGAACAAATGAACATTTACATTTTTATTTATATAGATTTATTATTTTTTATATTATAATAATAATTTTAAAAAAAATAGTATTATTGTTGCTGAAAATTATACATACTAATTTAAAACAAAGAAATACAATAAATATTTTAAAAACATTATTTTTTAGGCAAGAGAACTTGGACGAACTACCAATCGATGGCTTATGGTGAACATACAAAATGTCCAAGAATTTGCCTGCCAGGTATTAAATAGAGATGTTTGGAGTAATGCTGCAGTGAAGAGTATTATTTCAGAACATTTTGTATTTTGGCAAGTAAGTAATTTTTTAAAGTTAATTTTAAATTAGCTTCATTTTTTAATAAGATAGTTAAAAAATTTACAGATATGTACTGTACATAATGGTGAATAGAGAAATAATGGTTCTATTCAAATTTAACTTTTTTGTTGGAAAATTATGTGATTTATTATATAAATCTTTAAAATTTGTTTATCTTTGACTTGTTTTAGTTAATAATGATATACAGTAGTGCATCAATTATCTGAAACAATTCAAGACTGGTATTGTTCAGATAAGTGATTTTTCGGATAACTGATCATTTATGAAAAAAATATATTAAACACAAAACTGTACTGTATATATTTTGTATCACACATCTTACAAACACATATCTTGCATAAAGTAGTACATTAAATACTTTATGCAAGCCTACAGTTTTTTAGGCCTACAGTTTAGGTTTGCTGGGAGGGGAAGAGTACTGCAATGCCACAGCACTAGCGGAAATTTGAATTTGCCGACAAATGCTTTTGGTTAACCAATGTTTCGGTTGATCAGTATTCGTATAATTGATGCTCATCTGTATTATCATCATTAATTGTTATAGTTTAGTAATTATATACTTTTAATATTATGATTAAATTAAACATTCCTTTTCATTCAGCCAGTATTAATATTTCAANAACAGAGAATAAACTGCCCAAATACCCTTAAACAAAGGAAAAGTACGTCCTTTATGAAGGCATAGAGCCTTTACTACATGAAAATGAAAATTAATGAATACACTGTGTACAGTAATTTACGTGATAAGACAGACCTCAGAAAAATACTTTGAGGCATAAAGCTGTCTATAATAAAAATTAATTAACTAAGGATTTTTTTGCCCTTCCAGGGTGTGGCCGAGTTATCCGGACTGCCGAGTTATCGAGTGCCAAGTTTTCGAGTCTCTACTGTATTAGTTTTATTTATTCAATATTATACTTATATTCATGATTAGATTAGATATTTAACTATAAATGTGGGTTTCATTGAAAAGAAATTGTCTTTGACAAGAATTTGTATTTGATCTTTAATATGTGTGTTTTAGAAATTATTGTACAAATATTGACACACATGAAATAAAAAATTTATATATATTGCACAATTTTATAAATTACTAGATATGTCTGGTCATATGTTGCTGTGGCTCAAAATGTATTTATTAGAAATGTATAACACTCCCCATGGGGGGGGGAAATTTCGAAAAATCCCTTTTTAGTGTACATTCTCTTGACGAACCCTATTAAAACGCACTCAAAAACACAAAAAACCACATCTGAAATAGTATAATAGAAGCCTAGTTCTTCATGGTAAGCCTTAATTTGTCCCTCTCCCTATGGGAGAGGAATTTTGACATCTGTATAATACAAAAACATATGCATATTTGAATGCAACGTTGTTTCAAACTTTCAAAGAATTGGTGAAAAACTTTTGGAGATTTAAGATTTTGAACAAATGAACATTTACATTTTTATTTATATAGATTTATTATTTTTTATATTATAATAATAATTTTAAAAAAAATAGTATTATTGTTGCTGAAAATTATACATACTAATTTAAAACAAAGAAATACAATAAATATTTTAAAAACATTATTTTTTAGGCAAGAGAACTTGGACGAACTACCAATCGATGGCTTATGGTGAACATACAAAATGTCCAAGAATTTGCCTGCCAGGTATTAAATAGAGATGTTTGGAGTAATGCTGCAGTGAAGAGTATTATTTCAGAACATTTTGTATTTTGGCAAGTAAGTAATTTTTTAAAGTTAATTTTAAATTAGCTTCATTTTTTAATAAGATAGTTAAAAAATTTACAGATATGTACTGTACATAATGGTGAATAGAGAAATAATGGTTCTATTCAAATTTAACTTTTTTGTTGGAAAATTATGTGATTTATTATATAAATCTTTAAAATTTGTTTATCTTTGACTTGTTTTAGTTAATAATGATATACAGTAGTGCATCAATTATCTGAAACAATTCAAGACTGGTATTGTTCAGATAAGTGATTTTTCGGATAACTGATCATTTATGAAAAAAATATATTAAACACAAAACTGTACTGTATATATTTTGTATCACACATCTTACAAACACATATCTTGCATAAAGTAGTACATTAAATACTTTATGCAAGCCTACAGTTTTTTAGGCCTACAGTTTAGGTTTGCTGGGAGGGGAAGAGTACTGCAATGCCACAGCACTAGCGGAAATTTGAATTTGCCGACAAATGCTTTTGGTTAACCAATGTTTCGGTTGATCAGTATTCGTATAATTGATGCTCATCTGTATTATCATCATTAATTGTTATAGTTTAGTAATTATATACTTTTAATATTATGATTAAATTAAACATTCCTTTTCATTCAGCCAGTATTAATATTTCAAAACACCCAAATTAGTTTGAGTAATATATCATTTATTTTTGGAAGAAAAATGTTGAAATATTACATTATTATTTAAAACAAATTTCTTGTAGCTAAAAATAGCAAATTTGCAGAATTGATAACTGATATTTTTATGAAAAAATTAAACTGCTTTGAGAAAAATGCTTTTATTTTTTGAACATTTGATTATTTTTTTTATGATGAACTACTTTTCATTTGAAATAAAATCAAAACAAAAAATAAAGTTTTGTTAGATGTTGGAGGTTATCGTTTTTCAAAAAATTATAAAATATTCTTTAAAATATAAATTTTTTATTTAATTTTATATAAATAAAATTCTTCAAATATTGTGAATCTTGATCTGATGAAATGAAAATTTTGTATTTAGGTTTATTGTGAAAGTGAAGATGGTCAGAGGTATATACAGTTTTATAATGTCACTGAATATCCTTACATTGCAATTTTAGATCCTAGAACTGGTAAGCTATTATTAATTAAGAATATATATAACTAATTAAATAATAATATAATTAAATAACTTTGATATTCAAAGTTTTAAATTTTTTGTAATAGTCTGTTTTAAAATAAAATAAATATTTTAATTCCATTTCTAAAATATTTTATATTTCATTATTTATTAAAATTCATTAATTTTCTAAAAAAATGAAATAAATTCTGTAGCAAATAAAATTAAAAGCAAGCAAAAGAATAAAATATAAACAAATTAATCAAGGTTTTAATAAATACATGATTTTAGGTGAAAAGCTTGTTGTATGGAACAATATTGACTCTGTTTCGTTTTGTGATTTAGGTATGTATTATAATTAAACAAATAACGTAATATACGTTTTTAATTTTTAAATGTTTTTTTATAGTTACTGAATTCCTTAGTCACCAACCCTCTCCTGATGGTACAAGTTCAAATAAAAAATTAAAAGTGGTAATATAATTACAATTATTATTTATTTATTTACTTATTTTAATTGCTAAGTATTAAATATAAATGTTATTGTATATTGTTTTAATTAGTATTAATTTTGCAGGAAAGTATTGTAGATAAGAGTGAAGAACAACAACTTAAAGCTGCAATAGAAGCTTCTTTAAATGAAACAGTTTCAAAATTATCTGGAAAAGGATCAGATTTATCAGATGATGATGATACTGATGTAGAAACATTTGAATCTGATTCTGAAAGTAGTCTACCAAATAATCACGATTCCAAAAATAAACATATCAAAGAAAATTCAAAGCATTGTGAAAATAATGAAAATGTTAATGATAAATCAGCTTCTAACTGGAAAATGTACTTAGGAAGTAATGAAGGTAATTTTTTTATCTTATTTTCTACAATTAATATATTTATAACTACAGTAAATCTAAAAAATAAAAATAAATGCAGAGTATAAGTTCAAAGCTATTTCTTTAATTGAAAAGATTACCAACAATAGTTTTGATTTAAATGAAATAGAATTGAGATCTTAGAGAAAATGATGTTTCATCATAACAAAATAACAATTATAATTTTATGAAGAATTTTTGCTAAAAATTTTAACATTCTTTGTATCTATGTTAATATTAAACTTCCAAAATATTGACAATTTTATTTCAGTTAAAAATTTAAGAAACTTTGTAGTATTCTTGTTATTGAAATAGCATAGTTTATAATTTTTATGTTAATTTTTGAAGTTGTGTTATCAGAATTAATTAAATTACCAGGGATTCCTATATGTAGCTATCAGAATGTTTTTAGCAGGTCATTTCTAGTATGTATTAAATACTAGCAGACCCCGCCACCCGTTGTTGTGGCTCAAAATGTATCTATTATAAATGTATAACACTTCCCCCGTGGGGGGGATTTTTTGAAAAATCCCTTCTTAGTGTACATTCTCTTGACTTACCCTATTAAAACACAAAAAACCGCATCTAAAATAGTATAATAGAAGCCAAGTTCTTCATGGTAAGCCTTAATCCTGTCCCTCTACCCCGCGGGGAATATCGAAAAATCTGTTTTTAGTATATATTCTGTTGACATACCCTATTAAAATGCAATCAAAAATGCAAAAAAAAAAAACGCATCTAAAATAGTATAAATAGAAGCAGAGTTCTTTACGGTAAGCCTTAATCCTAACCATCTCTCCCCAGTTGGAGGAATTTTGACACGTATATTATATAAAAACACATGCGTATTTCGAATGCAGCATTGTGTCAAAATTTCAAAGGAATCGGTAGGAACAAACGAACATTACATTTTATTTATATAGATAGATAGATGATCTGCTTTAGTTATTTTCACAGAAAAGCAAACTTAGGGCGTCGTACTCGTAGTGCCATCTGTTGGACATAAAAGCCTTAACGTAGATTATATCTTTTAATTTATATGAATATTTAACAGAATAATATACAGCCTATGTCCACCCTGAAGTTCCATTCTAAATATTGGTGAAAGAATTTTTGAAATCGGATGAGTAGTTTCGGAGATTACCCGCTACATCCAAAATTACTTACAAACATTACCTCTTTATAATATTAGTATAGATATACATATATACAATCACCCAATTTATTTTCATAGATATAATGTATATTTGATTAATATTTTGCAATTAGAATTTACAATGAATTATTTAGTGTATTAGGTTGTTTGGAAAGTAAATTTGTTTTTTTTTTACCACTAGACGGATTAGTCAGACTTTTCCCACCATTTTCATTCTAAATCGTATTATCATTATATATTTTGACAGCTAGCATTTTAAGGCTTATTTGTGAAAAATTTTGTTTGATTTTGTGCAATTGTTTATTTTTTGTGTCCCATCAAATATGGAAGATTGAAAGCATATTTCGGCATATTTTGCTCTTTTATTATTGAAAAGGTAAGAATGCTGTTCAAGCGAGAAAAAAATTGTGTGACGTATATGTATTGACAGAATGACAGTGCCAAAACTGGTTTACAAAATTTCATTCTGGCAATTTCAATATTGAAGATGCACCACGTTCTGGATGACCAGTTGAAGCCAATGAAAACAAAATAAAGGTACTGATTGAAGCAAACTGCCAAATAACAACATGTGAAATCACTAAGATATTAAATTTGTCAAATTGAACTGTTTATGATTACTTGAAACAAATTGGTTTTATTTCAAAGCTTGATATATGGGTTCCACATGTTCTTAAAGAGAGATGCTCTCTTTGGTGGGATTTTAAGAATTTTTTTTTTTTTTGGAGCTTTTGCTAGACAATTTAACAATTGATTCGAAAGTGTACTGCCATCGAGTAAACAAATTGAGTAATATCATTAAACAGAAAAGGTGGCTAGAATTGATCAACAAAACAGGTGTAGTGTTTTACTACGATAATGTCAAATTTTGCACAAGTTTGGTAACTTGTCAGAAACTGTTATAACTTAGATGGGATGTGCTATCACATCAACCATATTTGCCAGATCCAGCACACTCAGATTATAAACTGTAAGACATTTACTTGAAATGACAATGTCAAAAATCACTTGGATCAGTTTTTTGTAAGCAACGATCACAACTTTTATGAATGTGAAATCATGCTACTACCAGAAACGATGACAACAGGTATTTGACCAAAATGGTTGATATATAATTCAATAAAATATTTATTTGTTATAAGAATATTGTGTTTTTTTTCCACGGGAAAAAAAACGAACTTACTTTCCGAACAACCCAATAAAAACTTTTAACTATTCATTAGAATTAAAATTAATGTATTTAGTGAGAATGAAAATATTTTATTTTGAAAAGTTTTCTAAGAAAATATTTTTTAAAAATTTAGGAGAGAGAAAAGTTTCAAATAGGATGAAGCTTCTCACAAACTATATTAAGATAACAGAAAAAAATATTTCATTTTTCATAATTTTTCTGTTTTATTTAAAATTAATTTAAATATATTTACTGAGTTATCTAAATTGAAATCTATTATTTCATGTGGTAGCTATACAGTAATACCTCGACTTATGCTACCCCGACTTACGCGAACCCGGAGTTACACAATTTTCAAATCTTGTCGATTCGTCTTTTGTTTGAGCGCCAAGCAACTCTCGATTACTCAATCCCCCCCACACTATTGTTCGGCTTACGTGTTCAGACGTGTCACACGGAATCGACACATAGCCACAATTTATTTTGTGTTGTTCATTTCTGTGTTTGTTATATCTACGGAGACTTGAGAGACTCTATGTGGTGATTTCTTCTAACCGCAAATGAATCAAAAGACAAGATAAGATTAAGGAGAACATTTATTAGCTTACATACATCAGACTTGGGTTTTACACAAATTGCGAAATTATACCCCAACTTACGCAAATTTGACTTACGCGGTTATCGCTCGGTCCCACCTATCGCATAAGTTTGGGGTATCACTGTATAGATATGTATAAAAAATATATATATATATATTTTTTATATATATCCCTACAGTGATTTTGAGGGGAGAAAAATATATATATATATTTTTTCCCCTCAAAATTTTCTTCAAATAAAAACATTGTAATTTGACTGACTTAAAATCAGGAAGAGTTTTTGTTTACAAGACAATAAACAATTAATGACTTGTAGCAGCAACAGCAAATTTTACAAGAAGCCAATGTTAATCAGTGTAAGCTGAAATAATTTACAGCCAGTTTCTTAAATTTAATATGTTTATTTTTGCATTTTTGGATCAAATAATAAAATACACATAAAAAAGCACTTTTGGAATGCCAAGAATATTTTATGTTGTTAGAAAAAAGACAAAATGAAGAAATTAAACATATAATTGTAGTTTTTGATATAATGCTTACAATTTCACAGTTTTAGAATAAAAACATATTTGTTTTTGTGACATAACTCGTTTGTTTTTTTTAATGCACTCTCTAGAGAGGGTTGTATAACTTAAAGTGACATGCCGGTATTCCCTCTGATAAACTGGCATCTCAGTTTTTACCATATGAAATATCTGATTTCATGTTCTCCCCAGATAGACCAGCATGCCGGTCATTCCATGAAAATACGGTATTCATTATTAATTTATTTTTTAACTTCTCTTCCTGTAGATGCAATAAACATAAGACATGATAAATATGTCTGTAATGTCTTGCTTTGAATTATTTTCTCTCTCTGTTCTGCAAAATAAATCAAATATTGAATATGAAATGTGACTTACACAGGACATGTGGCATATCCTGATGTAAGTCAGTGTCATAATCATATACTCAACCGTATCATCAAAGCAAGAATTTCATGTGTAAATACTGGCAAAAGAATTTATGGTATAAGAATTAATTTTAAATTTTTTTCATTTTACTAATTACTATTCTAACAGAATCAAACCGTTCATTAAATCTGATTAAAACTTTCCTTTTGTAAGTTTATTTTGATTAAGATATTTAATGTATGATAAATGACTTGGAATTTATAAAATTTATTTGTAGTTATTTATAATAGATGTATAAATAATACTGAAATATATAAATAAATCTAATAATACACTCAAACCAAATTAATAGTCATGTTTATTTTTTGCACTTACTTCAGATACTACTGATCAAAACAGCATGAAATTTAATGTACAAGCAGAAAATATTGTATTCTTTATGCAACAAAACAATTTACAAAAGCAAAAATTTGATCTAAATTACGTTAAACTAAAAACAAGAAAGTGCTGAGCATTGTTATAAATTTTTTTCACAGAAAAAGGCTAATGTGTGTGGTTGCCTCCTCCATGCATGCACACTGCACAGTGATTGCTCATGCTGGTTATAACCTTAGCTTTGTTAGGAGCAAATCCCCCATTCTTGAACACGAGTAACTTGAAGCTCCTGGAGTGTTCTTGATGAAGGCTGACAAGATGCAACTCATCTCCTGCTCTGAAGTATTCCACATGTTCTTTGGTATTGTGAACCGGAGATCTTGATAGCCATTCCATGTGATGAATATCTTCACTGTCAAGAAAATCATTGACAAGTGAAATCCTATGCGTGGGCATTATCATTCATGAAAATGAAATTGTACTAACAGCATTTTGGAAAATCTTACTTGGGGTTCCAAAACACTCTCTCTCTCTATCTTATTGCAGTAATGGTAAACCTTACCAATTACAGAGATCAGTGTGGCCATTAAGCATAATGCCACCCCAAACTCATCTCTTTCTACAATATTCATGGGATGGTATCAGATTTCTTGCTTTCTCCAGATTTAATCTAATGAGAATCATTCTGTACACTTTCTGAACATGTTATCATAAAAATTGTCCTCATTCATTCAAAGTCCAATGTCAATGTTCTAGAAACCATCTTAAAAGGTTTCTATGCACAGGAATGCAACATACTGTGGATGTCTGCCAAAAAGACCATTTGCCTGAAGCATTCTTCTGTAGATAGATTGTTGTGAAACTTTAATACCAGTGGCCACCACAGGTCTAGGCATTCTTCTGTTACAATACACTGTTAACATTGAATAGCAGTCCTATTGAGGGGTAGTAACTCTTAGATGTCTACTTCTTCATTGATGTCCAGCATCATCTGTTTTAAAAAACAGATGATGCTGGACATCAATGAAGTGAAGTGTGTCATATCCAGGCCTAAAGCGTGGTTATGACACTTCGCTTATTCAGAGTCCTAGACATACCTGTTTGCAAATGGACTGCTTCTAGCCTTCCGATAATGCCTCTTTTCATAAAATTGTTTGTATGGCATCTTTCTGGAATTATCATTGTCAGTAAAACAGTAAAAGACTGTTCTTGATGGTTAAATTGCAACAGAATCAATGCCTTGCTACTTCTATATTTATGGAGCCTGCATGTTTTGCATAAACTTTGGCTTTTTAATGGAACATTTAACTACATCCTGGGTGTTTTTATTGTCTGAAAATATAATAAATTTTCTGCTGTTTTTGCTCTATGAATTGGGCCATTAGGTTATTCTACACTCATGTTTAAAAAATAAGCATATATCTATACATCTGTAGCTTTATACAAACCACTTTTTATTGATGGAATGTACTGTATATTTCTGTGAAAAAGTGTTTAAATTGAAATTTTTCTAAGAACAATCCATTCATCTTTAGCAAGTGAAATTTAATAATTTTTTGAGTTTCAATTCACTTACATTCAAGAAAATTAATTATTTTCAATTTTATGGCCTCTCTTTTCTTTTGAAAGGTTAAAACTAGTAATAATTAATACACTTTCTTTTCAATGATTTTTAAAAATTTTCATAAATGAATGTTCTTCACAATTAAGATTATTGATGGTTTATAATGAAACTCAAATTATTGTTATTTTGTTATGTTACTTGCTATTATATAACTAATAAGAAAAATGTTTTGAATTGTGTCTGCATTTGTTGAATTAAGTGTTAATATGAAACCAATTCCAAAAAATGCTTTTCTTTGCAGCTGATTGATTTTATCAACATTCAAGTAAAGCACAGAGTATATATAGCCAATATATATTCCTATTCATTTGTGTTTAAACAAATTCAGTCCGTACAAAAAATATTTTGTGGTCAATCATTTATAAAATCAGAAATTTAACAATAAATTTGTAAATGATGGTATAATGTGTAATTGTAAATAAATTTAAAGTAATGTATGTGTAGATTTACTAAAAAATTTAAATTTTTCTGCATTATCTGTTTTGTTATCTCCTTTATTATTATGTTGTAATTATATATATCATGTTTTTAGCTCCAATAAAGTTTAACTAAAATTCAACTTCTTGATGCACTTACTACTTGATAAATGTGCAGAAAGAATTTTATGTATTTCAATTGACAATTGAAAAAACTTTAACTCAAAAATAGGGAACATTTTAAATCATACAATCAGCTTGAAAATTATTTTTTTAAATTCCAAATTATTAACAAAAATTTTGATTTAAAAATATTAATTAACATATTTTTCTGTAAAGAAGTACTTACATAGGTATTGATTCATAATGCTTGAGAACCCACTTGAAAATCTCTTATCTTCCATACAGGAATTTTTCTTTCACAGTTAAACTTGTGATATTGAAGGAGTAATAGAAAATTGTTTAAATTTAATAGAAATTTTCTATCACTCATCCAATATATTTGATCCCAAAATAATTTTTGACGATTAGAAATCAAGTCAAAATTTTAATGATATCCTAATTATTAGAAATGTTTAGAAAATTACAGATAATTAAAGAATTTTATTGATTTTTAAACAAAATTTAATATCAATTTGTTTTTTTAAATATTATGCTTGGTTAATTTTTATTTTGAAGATTTTGTAGAGATTTATTTTATATTTTTATTTCTTTAAATAACATAATTTAAAATATATTATTATTCTGTTTGTAAACAAGTCAACACATAAACGATGCTATTTTATAACATTTATTTTATTCATTATTTTAAAAATGTAATTTAAGTTTATTAATAATTTAATTATTTAAAATAATTTTTTTTATTTTAAACGTTTGAAAATATTTTTTTAAAATAAATTCAATCATAAAAAGTCCCTTTAACTTTTTTTTTCTAAATAAAATTTCTACAGATCCAAAGTCAGAATTGATAATACGTTTTCCCGATGGTAGGCGTCAACACATAACATTTCCTTGTTCCTCTCAGTTACAGGTTGGTCAAACAAAATTGATTTTATTAATTTAATAACCATGTTAATGTAGCAATATTTTGTATTAAAGTTAACCAGAATTTCATTTTGTGTCCTAGGCGCTACTGTTATATGCCGTATCTTCCGGTTATCCTGCCGAAACTTATGAATTAGTTACACATTTTCCACGAAGAAGGCTCTGTACTCTCGACAAAGAGCAAACACTGAAAGAAGCAGGACTTTTTCCCAGGGAGACGATATTTATCCAATTAAAAAATGATTAGCCGATTGATTTATTATTATTTTACCCACAAATTAACAGCTTTTTACAGATAAGAGAAACAAACTGTGCCAACAAAACAGTAATACATCCAGTTACAATGAAAGACAGTAGTTGTTCAGTATTAAATTTATTTTATACTGAGGTTTCGTTGTGGTTATATATACATATATATTCCCCTTTTCAAATGGCAAGTTTTGCCTATGCAGGCTTTAATATATTTCAACAAGATACGCAACACCAGCGTAATTTTTCAAGTTTTATTCACGTTAATTTTTTAATATTCACAGTACAATATTTTATACACGAGGTGCATTTTTTCACCATAAAACTTTTGCTCACGATTTGGTGTTCGACGGGACACCGAAATATTTTGTACCGCGATTCATCGTATATAATTACAATTACATAATTAAAACTGCCGAATACCAAGGATGTAAATAGTTAATTTCATGTTTGATCCTCTTCATATGTAAATTCCTAAGAATCATATTCATGTGCAATAAAATATAATTTTCAATACGTTTTATTTTGCTTACGTAACGTTATAAGGTCATAATTTTTGAAGTTTTTAGTAAATTTTCGGTGGTTAATTGAGATTTTTCGTTAGTTTCGGAGAATGTTAGCTGTGAAAGTTCGGTCTTGAAATTATGAAAATAAAAATGGAATAACTCTCGATTTATTTGGATTTATAGTTTTAATCAATTACTTAAAAATAATAGAATTTGTAAACATTAAAAATTTAATTTTGATGGAAGTAAAGCAACCATATTTCCCAACTTGAAAGCTGCATATTTTAATTAAAACTGAATGATTGTTCGAAAATACAGGATGTTTATAAATTAATGGTGCTGTTTTAAAAATTAATAATAATACTATTTATTACCTTATATGGGCAAACCATATAAGGTAATAAATAGTATTATTTATTACCTTATATGGTTTGCCCATATAATCCATAACGGTTTGGTTAAGATATGAAAACGCAACACTTGGGCGATCTGCCTAGGGGTGCCTTCTGGGAGGTCTTTTTAAGGGTAACTGACCCCTATTCAGGCATTTCAGACGTGGAGAAAACCCGGAAAACTCCACGTGGTGAGGTGCGAATCCACGACGGAACTCCCAGTGTTCAGGAAACGGAACCGCATGGCCACTGGTGAAGGGACTCATTTTGAATTAATTTTACGAGACATATTTCAATATTAATCTTAGAACGAAGTTTTAGGTTACATCAGCGACTTCAGATGAGGTACTGGAAAGGAAAATTCACATTGACTATTAACAATCATTGCAAATAAACAGGAATTAATCACCAAATGCTTTCTTATAATGCAAGGATAAATTCGAAAGACAATTGCACAAGTTAAATATAGACTTGTGTCCGCGGTATGCTATAATTATCTCTCAGGATTAGGTTTCCAATCCCGGATCATTTCATTTTTAATGAATGGGCTATGATATGCAGAATGGTTTGTACCGTACGTACTGTACCTCAGTCCTTCAATACTACACTAGACATTCTAGTATTATATGACGTAAGGCGAAGTAACAGGTGCGTTCTGCCAATGGAGAGGTGTCCCCGGGAGAGATTATGGGAAGTTGGTGTTGGACACACTGAAAAAAACTCGGAAAATTTTTTTATTGAAGAGAAGTAACGCAAAACAAAATTTCATAAATAATTAATATGTTTCCTGTTTCCTTCTGCTATGCTATACTGTATTAACATTTTGCACGTGCACGAACCACATGCATTATGTTTGACCATATATATTGGTCAAACGTTATATATATATATATGTTACAGTCAAAACCCGTTTTTAGTTAGAACGCGTTTTAACTAGTTGAAACTAGTTTTTACTGAATGTCTTTGTTAAAACCCGTTTTGTCTAGTTAAAACTAGTTTATACTGAATGTCTTTGTTAAAACCCGTTTTGTCTAGTTGAAACTAGTTTATACTGAATGTCTTTGTTAAAACCCGTTTTGTCTAGTTGAAACTAGTTTATACTGAATGTCTTTGTTAAAACCCGTTTTGTCTAGTTGAAACTAGTTTATACTGAATGTCTTTGTTAAAACCCGTTTTGTCTAGTTGAAACTAGTTTATACTGAATGTCTTTGTTAAAACCCGTTTTGTCTAGTTGAAACTAGTTTATACTGAATGTCTTTGTTAAAACCCGTTTTGTCTAGTTGAAACTAGTTTATACTGAATGTCTTTGTTAAAACCCGTTTTGTCTAGTTGAAACTAGTTTATACTGAATGTCTTTGTTAAAACCCGTTTTGTCTAGTTGAAACTAGTTTATACTGAATGTCTTTGTTAAAACCCGTTTTGTCTAGTTGAAACTAGTTTATACTGAATGTCTTTGTTAAAACCCGTTTTGTCTAGTTGAAACTAGTTTATACTGAATGTCTTTGTTAAAACCCGTTTTGTCTAGTTGAAACTAGTTTATACTGAATGTCTTTGTTAAAACCCGTTTTGTCTAGTTGAAACTAGTTTATACTGAATGTCTTTGTTAAAACCCGTTTTGTCTAGTTGAAACTAGTTTATACTGAATGTCTTTGTTAAAACCCGTTTTGTCTAGTTGAAACTAGTTTATACTGAATGTCTTTGTTAAAACCCGTTTTGTCTAGTT